CAACCATATAAATATTAGTTTAGTTTTAAAACTCCACGTTAAATTATTATGCAACTTCAAGCCTAATATTTTTTCATCTTTTTTTTTCCGGAGGGAGAAAGGAAGAGGGAGCTAGAAACATCATTGATAAGAGAGAATCATTGACCTGCTGCCTCCTGCACGCCCCCCATTGGGGAATCGAGCCTGTAATTCTGGCATATGCCCTGACAGGGAATGGAACCGTGATTTCTGGTTCATGGGTGATGCTCAACCACTGAGCCACAAGGACGGGCAAACCTAATTTTAGAGTACTTTATATCTATGTCTTTACAGTGTTCTTTTATCATATTTGCATTAATCAACAGTTTAATTAGCACCCATTTAAAAATAATCGTTTTAAGGTTTAATTCTTTGACAATATACAGTGATTTTAGTTATTTCTCATTCTAGAAAATAGGTTTTTATTTTTCTCTTAGTATATTTCACAGACTGCATCTCATTCTATCCACCCCTCTATTGTATTTCCTCCATGTAAGAAGACATATGTGCACTTCTGACCTTATTCTAACATTGTGTTTAATCCTATTAGAAATCCATGTCATCTAGTTCTAAATCATAGCATTTAAAAAGAAATAGTTCTCTATTATTCTGCTATGATAAAATGAAGCATCATTTTGTGAGCAATGTTGGACTCTAGTAATATCCTTGTTTATATTATTATGTCATTTTCTTTACATACACTACTCTTACCCAGTATTTTCTAATGGTCACTTTTGCTGATATGTTATATAGAACATGTTATATAATTCAAGGAAAATGTAATAACATGCATGAAAATGATTATAAATAAAATCATTTTGAGAGTTTGAATGTGAGAACATTGGCGAACTGTTGAAAAGATATTTACTTTTCATTTTATTTTGTAAATTTGTTTAATTATAAAATTTAAAAATCAAGATGTACTAAAGTTGTAAGGAAAAACAATAGATTTTTTCTATCTCCAGATACTTTCTATAAATGGTTTCTCTAGAACTGACCTCAATATTTCCAAGTAATAGGTTTATATTGCTCTATCTTGACATTCAGCTTCATACTTTAATCACCTCTTTCTATGATAAAAAAGGATTTAACTTTTTTACTTTCCAACTAACAAACACATGTACATTGCTCATTTCCTTTTTCCTGTTTTCCCAATAGAGTTGTCATAGTTTTTTAGTTAAACTAGTTGTTTTTGTCTATACTATAGGTATGATTATTTAAAAAATACAGGTTGGAGTACTATGATTACATTTACTTTCTTGAAAAACATTTTTCCTAGAGCTGATAATTGTTATTTTTACTTACAGAATTTTCTACTTGTATTAATTTTTCACATTATTATTCATTTGAATATTAACCTTTCTCCTTAAATATTCAAATATACCAGATATCTATTAATTATATTTATTTCCTTGAGATCTTCCACACAGATCCCTTCATATCTCTGCTTCATTTACACTGGTTGTTGTATAAGCAATCACCCTAGGGCTTTTTTTCTTTTAATACTTTCCCTTATTGGGTTCCCTTTTACAAAATCCAGAGTATTCTTTTTTAGTTTACTCCCTTATTTAGCTGACACACATCTCTTAATCCTATATAATAAAAGCCTAATATGCTAACTGTCTGACCATTCGTTTGACCATTCAACCAGTCGCTACAACATGCACTGACCACCAGGGGGCAGATGCTCCCACCAGTAGGTTAGCTTGCTGCTGAGGTATGGCCAATCAGGACTGGGCGAGATGAGCTGGACATGACCTGGAGCCCTCCCGCGGTCCCTCCCCGGCTCCAATCATGCACCAGTGGGGTCCCTCGCCTGGCCTGCGCCCTCTAGCAATCCGCTACCCCTTGGGGGATGTCTGAGATTTTGGCCCGATCCCTGCAGGCTACTGAGCCTCTAGCAGTTTCATAAAAATGGATGCAGATAACTTGCCTTGTGAAGGTATTGTCATTTTCTTCCCATGTGATTGATAGTTTGGCTGGGTATAAAATTTTGGTTGAAAATAATTTTCCCTCAGATTTTGAAAGCACATTACATTTACTGATTGTATATACAGTTGCTGTTCTTCTGATTCCATTCTGATTCCTATCTCTTTTAATGCCAATCCATTTTTTTTTCATTGTGGATGCATTGGAAACTTTCCCCTTGATTTCTGAAAATTCCTTAGTGTCAGCTATTTATTATTCTGGCCACATAGGTGTACCCCGTTAATGTTTAGACCTTCATTCAATTCTGAGAAATTTTCTTGTTGTTTCCTTCACAATTTCCCCCTTGAATTTTCTACATTCTCACTTTAACCAGAATCTCATCAGTTAAATATTGGATCTCCAGGATTGAATTTCTAATACTCTATTTTTTCTTTATTTTTTTTCTTTGTCTCTTGTTCTACTTCTTGGACAATTGTTTTATCATCCAATTCTTATATTTGTTTTCTTTTGGGCTTGCAAATATTTATTTTTAAGAGCTCTTTGTGTTTTATGAGTATTTTTCATAGCATCCTGTTATAGATTTGTAAATGTAATATCTTCTCTTGTCTGTAATCAATCTAGTTATTCTTTTAAAATGCACTATGCAAAAAAATGAATTATTCAGTAAAACTGGGAGAATCACAGGAAATTTAAGAACCTACTCAAAATTATATAGCTAGTAAGGGGCACTTAAACCCTAATTTACTCTTTATGTTACAATAAGATTACATACTTCATACAGTTACTGTTAAGATTAAATGGGTATACACACATATATGGCACTAGAACAATTGGTAGCAAAAAAGTAAATACTCAATAAGTATTCTTATTAGATTTTACTACTCATTTTAAAGACTTTGCTTCTGTTTTTTTTATTATATATGCTTGTTTCCTGATGTTACTTTTTTGTGGTGTTTTGGCCTTTTTATGTCACGTGTAGGTATTTCCTCAAATGTCTTGTGGTCTTTGTTTCTCTTCTTATATTTAAGAATGATGAGATATCATAGTGCTGACAGTCAGCTCTTGTGAATATATGAGGCCTGTTGATAGCAGGGCTTCGCTCTAATGTAACTATGTAGGATATAGCTACTCCCATGGGAGGTCCTCAAATATCAGTATGTTTAAGTTTTTATCTGTGTCTTTCATATCCTCCAGGTTAGAATTCTGCAATATCTTCTGTGAGACAGAGAGTTAGGGAGGGGATTGGGCATATGCCTTGTGTCCTACAATTGGTGAGTATTGTTTGTATCACCTTGCAGGATACATTTTTGCTTAATGTTTCTATTTTTACTTTCACACCTCATACTTGCACTCAGCTCTGCCTAAGGTCTCTAAAACTAGACATAGTCCCATTTAATTTCTCAATTGAATAAATTTTCCATTTTCTGGCCTCAAGTTTTTTTTCCTATGTAGGATAATAGAATCTGAGAATTCAACTTTCCTATATATGTACAGGCAACTCACAACTTATGTTTAGTTCTCAACTGACTTCAGTCGTCTTATACACTTGATTCCTAAAAAGCTTGTACCTAAATGGGGTAATGTGGGACAAATTCACTACTTTATTGTGAATATCTCCAATGTAAGAACTTTACTTTAGACATTTCTTAGAACTGCTAAGTCAGCTGCCCTTCCATCTGCTTATTGTTATCAAATATATATGTGTTCACTTGCACATTCTTAGTCTTTGTGAGTTTATACCATTTTTATTTTTATCATTACAGAGGGTATTTTAAAAGAATGGAGAATAGCTTTGTGTAGTCAATCCACTTATTTTTAAATTTCTACCCTTTTGTAGTGATTGATTTTCCACCATGTAGCTAACTTACATTTTTTAAGAATGTAATTTGTACTTAATATGTTAAAAATGCAAACTTGTTAAATCTCTCTTCCATCCATTCTTGAGAGCACTTTTGAGACCTCCTATAGTACACATTATTGCTGAGCTCCTAGCATCTATTCCAAAAAATCTCTCTCATTATGCAGCAACCATGCCCTTTAGCTAGTAAGAGGCGGTCAGAGACAGAATTAAAACAAAGTAAAGGCCGAAGCTGGGTCTTCAGATTCTGAGACTAAAATCTCCACCTATAATTCTATACCTCTTGAAACAAGATTGCTTCAGGAGCAGGTATATGATCTTAGTTGGTCTAATCAGAGTAAAACTAAGTTTTTGTTCTATGATTGGTAAAGAAAATCTCCCTCTGGGCTGAAAGAAAAAGCAGATCACCATAGTTGTAGCCAGAATAAATCTTGGGAACTTAAAGGAAACCAATTTTAGGAGTAATTCTGCTTCAAATAAAACTAACATGTTTGTGTTTGTGTACTTATTTTTTTGTAAATTATGAGGAACTAGAACTAAACTATAGATTTACATAATGTGTTCCACTCCAATAGCTTTTATTTAATTTCTTCCAGTTCACAAGTTATTGATATCAAAGAAATCTAATGAAATGTCTTCTTGTGCTACAACAACTATATATGTCCCATGTCATGATTAAGCCAGTTTCATATCTTCTGAGGGGACTTCTGAAATGATTCATGTATACTTTCCCTTTCCCTTACCACCTAAAGAAAGCCAGGTAGTGATGGGCTTTTGCTCAGTTTAACAGTCATTTATACTCTCCTTATTTCAGGCTTTCAATCCTCTCAGAAAGATTACAAGCTCTTGGAGGCCAGGAATTTTACCTTGTATTTCTGTATTCATCACAAACTGAGCACTTTCCGTGTTGGGAGAGTGGGGAGGGACACTTAAATGCGTTAAAACAAATACTAACAGCATCAAAAACTACAAAGACTATAAATCCATTCTTATGGAAGATAGAATATATTTGCAATCACTTAAACACAATGAATACAACATTTGTTTCTAGGGGACAATATGTGAATGGTATTTAGGTAGCTTTCATCAAACTGAAAATCTGTGGAGACGCATGGTGGCGCTGCAGGATAATATCGTGGGGAGAGAAACTACGCTGATGACACTGTTACCCACTGCAGAAAAAAACCAACAAGCTGCAAGGAAGGCGAACCAAAAGCTAATAAAAAAAAAGGTTAAAATCCTTAGACCTTCCTAAGATTCGGTGGACATAGCAGAGGCACATTTCCCAGAACTGCGAAGTGGAGCTGAAGCGATTCCGCAGGAAGCCTTGGGGAAAGGAGCTATGGAGAGCGGAGGAACTGGCACCCTGCGGATAAGGCAAGTCCTGTTGTTCTTTGTTTTTCTGGAAATGTCTCGGGCGGACTCTGAGTCTGGGCGCTTTTCGGTGGAAGAGGAAATGAAGAGCGGGAGCGTTGTAGGCAATTTGGCAAAGGATCTAGGACTGGATGTGGGTGAGCTGTTCTCAAGGGGGGCTCGGGTGGTCTCTAATGATAACAAACACCATTTGCAGCTGGACTTAAACACCGGGGATTTGCTCTTAAGCGAAGCGCTGGACCGGGAGGAGCTCTGTGGCTCCACCGAGCCCTGTGTTCTGCACTTCCAGGTATTAATGAAAAACCCTTTGCAGTTTTTACAGATTGAGCTCCAGGTCAGGGATATCAATGACCACTCCCCTGTCTTCTTAGAAAAAGAAATGCTCCTAGAGATCCCAGAGAATAGTCCTGTGGGCGCTGTGTTCTTACTGGAAAGTGCGAAGGATTTGGATGTAGGAATCAATGCTCTAAACAGCTACACAATAAGCCCCAACTCTCATTTCCACGTTAAAATGAGAGTCAATCCAGACAATAGAAAATACCCAGAGTTAGTTCTGGACAAGGCGCTGGATTATGAAGAGCAGCCAGAGCTCAACTTCATCCTCACTGCTCTGGATGGTGGGTCTCCGCCCAGGTCTGGGACGGCCTTGGTTCGGGTGGTGGTCTTGGACATTAATGACAACTGCCCGGAGTTTGAGCAGCCCTTTTATGAGGTGAAGATTCCGGAAAATAGCTTACTAGGCTCACTGGTTGTCACAGTCTCCGCTTGGGATTTAGACTCTGGAAAAAATGGGGAGATATCATATACTTTTTCCCATGCCTCAGAAGATGTTCACAAAACATTTGAAATTAATCAAAAGTCTGGAGAAGTTAGTTTAATGGCATCGTTGGATTTTGAAACAATTGAATCATATTCCATAATAATACAAGCCACAGACGGGGGAGGGCTTTTTGGAAAATCGACAGTCAGAATTCAGGTGATGGATATAAATGACAATGCCCCTGAAGTCACCGTGTCCTCAATTACTAGCCCAATTCCAGAAAACTCGTCTGAGACCGTGGTTCTGGTTTTTAGTATCCTAGACAGAGATTCTGGGGACAATGGGAGGATGCTTTGTTCTATCCCAGAAGACCTTCCATTCATACTAAAATCTTCAGTAAAGAATTACTACACATTGGAAACAGAGGGAGCACTGGACAGAGAAAGCAGGGCCCAGTACAACGTCACCATCACCGTCACGACATGGGGACCCCCAGGCTGGAAACCCAGCACAACATCACCCTGCTGGTCTCCGACGTCAACGACAACGCCCCCGCCTTCACCCAAACCTCCTACACCCTGTTCCTCCGCGAGAACAACAGCCCCGCCCTGCACATCGGCAGCGTCAGCGCCACAGACAGAGACGCGGGCGCCAACGCCCAGCTCACCTACTCGCTGCTGCCGCCCCGCGACCCGCAGCTGCCCCTGGCCTCGCTGGTGTCCATCAACGCGGACAACGGCCACCTGTTCGCCCTGAGGGCGCTGGACTTCGAGGCGCTGCAGGCGTTCGAGTTCCGCGTGGGCGCCACGGACCGCGGGTCCCCCGCGCTGAGCAGCCAGGCGCTGGTGCGCGTGCAGGTGCTGGACGCCAACGACAACGCGCCCTTCGTGCTGTACCCGCTGCAGAACGGCTCTGCGCCCTGCACCGAGCTGGTGCCCAGGGCGGCCGAGCCGGGCTACCTGGTGAGCAAGGTGGTGGCGGTGGACGCAGACTCGGGCCAGAACGCCTGGCTGTCGTTCCAGCTGCTCAAGGCCACGGAGCCCGGGCTGTTCGGCGTGTGGGCGCACAATGGCGAGGTGCGCACGGCGCGGCTGCTGAGCGAGCGCGACGCGGCCAAGCACAGGCTGCTGGTGCTGGTCAAGGACAATGGCGAGCCCGCGCTGTCTGCCAGCGTCACGCTGCACGTGCTGCTGGTGGATGGCTTCTCGCAGCCCTACCTGCCGCTGCCGGAAGCGGCGGCCGACCAGGCGCAGGCCGACCCGCTGACCGTGTACCTGGTCATCGCGTTGGCGTCGGTGTCGTCGCTGTTCCTGTTCTCGGTGCTGGCGTTCATCGCGGTGCGGCTGTGCAGGCGGAGCAGGGCCGCCTGGGTGGGTGGCTGTTCGGTGCCTGAGGGCCACCTTCCGGGCCACCTGGTGGATGTTACCGGTACTGGGACCCTGTCCCAGAGCTACCAGTATGAGGTGTGTCTCACGGGAGGTACTGGGACAGATGAGTTTAAATTTCTGAAGCCGATTATCCCTAATTTCCAGACCCAGTGCCCTGGGAAAGAAATAGAGGAAAATCCTACCTTCCACAATAGCTTTGGGTTCAATATTAAGTGACCATAATTACCTTTTATACCCAGATGTATTTTTATTTTGTGCCACTTCCATATCAGTGTTTCCTTTCCCAATACGTGGGTTTTTAAATATGACTTAAAATTGATTTTAGAGAGACGGGAAGCGAGAGGGAGAAAAACATTGATAGGCTGACTCTTGCACGGCCCCCCACTGGAGATTGAGCGGCCACCTGGAGATGTGCCCTGACTGGGGATCTAGCAGGTGATCTCTCAGTGCATGGGAAGATGCTCAATCAACTGAGCCTCACCGCCCAGGATTCAATATGTGGGTTTTTAAAATTGCACTGAGGTTAGTTTTATATTTTCGCATGTTCTACCCACCTTTACTTTTAAGTGAATGTTTATCATTATTTGTGGTTGTAATAAGGTGGTGATTTATTCTCTAACCCAGGAGGTCTTCATTTGTAATTAATTTGCCTCCTTAAATAACAATACCAAATCACTGTTTGTCCTTGACCCTCTCTGCAATTGAACTTTCACCCACAATTAGGCTTATGGTAAAATAATGCAGACCACTTTCAAAGTATTTTAAGTGTTCAAGCATTTCTTCTTCTTTTTTGCTTTTTTCTTGTGGTTTAATCATGGTTGTATTCAGAAATGCCACTTTTCTTTCTTTAACCTCTCACTGCATTTTAGTTAACATTTAAAAAGGTTTATTACTATTGAAAATATACATGAAAATTCATGTCCTATGATACAAACATGAGTGTAGTCAACTTTTTAGAAAGGTCATTTTTTTTTTTTAGCATTGCTTCATTATTCTTTCTGGAGCATGATTGTGAAGGCACATTGATATTGTGACCACTCATAGAATCTTGGAATATGAAATTATAATCTTCCAGATGTCTCATGAATGTTCCAAAGCTATAATGCAATGCAGTTGAAAACTGGCACCTGAATAATATCTTGTATAGCATAAATCGGGCTTGAGTGCTACTGTGTATAATTTTTTGTCTCCTGTGTACACACACACACACACACACACACACACATACATACACACAGAGTGGGCACTGATTTTCAAACTTAAACAATTATAGCAAATAGAAAAATTATATTGTATATAACATAATTTCTTTGTAACATACAAAGAAATGTTTTTCAATAACACTCAGATTTCTTGTTGATGCAATCTAAAATTGCCTGTATTATTTTATTCTATTTCATTTTCAAATGTGGTCATCATACATTGATTTAGTGACCTACTAATGGGTAGCAATCCCAAGTTTGAAATCCACTTTACTCAGAGATATATATAGATGTGTGTAGAACATTGAAAAGTATCAAAAGGTAGTCCTTTAATACTTTAATTTTAAAAATTTCAAACCATTGTTGAAGGATGAGTTGTCTCATTGCTATACAGGAACCAATCAACCATTCTTGCCTTTAGTGAATTGACTACATTATAGAATAAAAAACCTTTATTGTTTGAGTAGGAATTTTCCAATAAATTTTATCAAAAATCTAAAGCCTATATGTTGTGGAAAGAAAGTGTAGGTGGCCAAAATGTGTCAGGTATAGAGGGAGAGAGAGAGAGAAAGAGAGAGAGAGAGAGAGAGAGAGAGGAGAAGGCATTGGAAAGAGATGAGTGAGAATGAGTAAAATGGTTGCTTCTAGTGCTTCTAATGCTGCAGATTAGAATGAATGCCAAAAAGAACATCCTGAGGATATTTTTAAACTTTTTCTTAACATTGTAGAGGGGCTGGGTATTAGTCAGTTGATATTGCCAGGAAGCACAATCTCTTGCTCTACCATGTCCAAAATAATCTGTTTAAACATCTTGAAAGCTATGATTTTATTACCAGTGCTTTTGAACTTTGTGGGCTGATTATTTATTCTTTGAATTCAAGACAAATGGAGGGAACAAATTAAATTCTAATTTTCCACTTTTGGAAGTGGAACTAAGAGCAAGTTCTTTTCCCCTCTAAATGTAAGCTGCAACAAAAGTCCATACTATATTAATAAATCAGTTAAGTATTAAGATTACTTCCTGTTTTTACTGTACTTAGTGGGGAAATGATAAAGGACCACTAGCTTAAAGAGATATAATGTGTTATAGCTTCCTACCACGCCAGATGATAATAATCCTAGGAGCTAAATACTATCATTACCCCTATTTTACAGGTCAGGAAACAGAGGTACATAAGTTGCCCAAGACAGCAGATAGTATGTGGCAGATTAGAATTCTAATGTAGACATTGTTGTTTTAAAATCCATGTTTGTAATCACTGTGTTATGTTGCCTCTGAGGTCTAAGATGTCCCTTCTAGGTCTTTCTATGTTATTCTTTATGCATATATTGTGACATATTTTAATTACTTACTGCCAAATTTTCTAGTCTGTGAGCTCCATAAAGACAAGGGTTATCTCTGTCTTATATGCCATGTCCTTATATGTGTATTTTAAAAAATATATAAAGGAAAAAGCAATGATGTTACTAATTATAATCGACTGAACTCAAGTATTTACAAGAGTTGAGAAGAGAGTATATTTGCAATTAGTCAAGAGATGGCCTGAATAAAATATCATTTCTTCAGTTCAAGACATTTTTATAGATTTTTCTTGTCAGGCATTCAAACCAGTGATAATTAAATGCACTACATAGACCGAGTTTTGATCCCATTGGAAACAAACCAACAATTAAAAACATTGTTGGAAAAAACTGGGGAAACCAAGAATAGACTGGCAATAAATTATATCAAGGAATTATTGCTAAATGGGTTGATTTTGATAGTGGTACAGTAGTTATATTTTTAAAGTCCTTATCTATTACAGATACTTAACGAAGTATTTAGAGTTAAAACTATGATGTCTGGGATTTGCTTTAAAATATTCCAGATGTATTCATGAATTACTTCTTCAAAGAGAAAACAATTTTTACTGAAAAAAATTCATAGAGACACATGGTGGCGCTGCAGGATAAGATGAAAACAGTGCATGGACCACACTGTGGACTCCATTATTCAAGGGAACAGAGAACAGTCAACTCATTCAAGAGAGGCATTAAGGAGCTTCACTTTCAGAGCTGTCGGGAGGGCTCTACACCCTCCAGGGTTTACTTATTCTAAAAAATCAGAGCTTCGGCTCCCAAAATTAGGGCTAAACTTAAATTTTTCCACAAAGGAGATTGCTTGAAGGAACCATGGCGATCAGAGGAGCGCTCACTTTGCGGAAAAGGCAAGTCGCAATTCTCTTTGTTTTGCTGGGATTGTCTGAGGCGGGTCCTGACTCTGTGCGCTATTCTGTGGCAGAGGAAGCAGAAATTGGCTCTTTTGTGGCCAATCTGGCAAGGGATCTGGGGCTTGGGGTGGAGGAGCTGTCCTCCCGGGAGGCTCGGATAATTTCTGATGATAATGGCAGGCATTTGCATCTCAATTTATTGACTGGGGATTTGCTCCTAAACGAGAGACTAGACCGAGAGGAGCTGTGCGGCTCTGCAGAGCCCTGCGTGTTACATTTTCAGGTGTTATTGCAAAACCCTTTAAAGTTTTTCCGGACTGAGCTGCACATCAAAGATATAAATGATCACTCCCCGACATTCCTGGACAAGGAAATACTTTTGAAAATATCAGAAGGTACCACTCTTGGAACGGCATTCCCAATGGAGAGTGCCCAAGATTTGGACATAGGAAGCAACGGTCTCCAAAACTATACAATTAGCCCCAATTCTCATTTCTACATTAAAATTCAAGACAGCGGTGATGGAAAGATATACCCAGAACTGGTCCTAGACAGAATGTTAGATCACGAAAAGGAGCCTGAGCTCAGATTAACACTTGTAGCACTGGATGGTGGGTCCCCACCCAGGTCTGGGACAACATTGGTCCTCATCGAGGTCTTGGACATCAATGACAACGCCCCTGAGTTTCCGCAGAGGCTCTATGAGGTGCAGGTCCCAGAGGACACAGCCATTGGCTCCCGGATAATCACCATCTCTGCTAAGGACTTGGATGCAGGACATTATGGGAAAATATCTTACATATTTTTCCATGCATCTGAAGATATTCGTAAGACATTTGAAATCAACCCAACATCTGGTGAAGTTCGTTTGATATCTAGCTTGGACTTTGAAGTAATACAGTCTTACACTGTAAATATTCAGGCAACAGATGGCGGGGGGCTTTCGGAAAAATGCACTCTTCTGATTAAAGTAATGGATATAAACGATAACGCACCAGAAGTGACCATGTCATCAATTACCAACAGAATTCCAGAAAACGCACCACAGACCATTGTCGCTGTTTTTAGTATTCGAGACCAAGACTCTGGGGACAATGGAAGGATGGTTTGCTCTATTCAAGATGATCTCCCTTTCATCATGAAACCAACATTTAAGAATTTTTTCACTCTGGTTTCTGAAAAAGCACTGGACAGAGAGATGAGAGAGGAGTATAACGTCACCATCACCGTCACCGACATGGGGACCCCCAGGCTGAAAACCCAGCACAACATCACCCTGCTGGTCTCCGACGTCAACGACAACGCCCCCGCCTTCACCCAAACCTCCTACACCCTGTTCCTCCGCGAGAACAACAGCCCCGCCCTGCACATCGGCAGCGTCAGCGCCACAGACAGAGACGCGGGCGCCAACGCCCAGCTCACCTACTCGCTGCTGCCGCCCCGCGACCCGCAGCTGCCCCTGGCCTCGCTGGTGTCCATCAACGCGGACAACGGCCACCTGTTCGCCCTGAGGGCGCTGGACTTCGAGGCCCTGCAGGCGTTCGAGTTCCGCGTGGGCGCCACGGACCGCGGGTCCCCCGCGCTGAGCAGCCAGGCGCTGGTGCGCGTGCAGGTGCTGGACGCCAATGACAACGCGCCCTTCGTGCTGTACCCGCTGCAGAACGGCTCTGCGCCCTGCACCCGAGCTGGTGCCCAGGGCGGCCGAGCCGGGCTACCTGGTGAGCAAGTGGTGGCGGTGGACGCAGACTCGGGCCAGAACGCCTGGCTGTCTTCCAGCTGCTCAAGGCCACGGAGCCCGGGCTGTTCGGCGTGTGGGCGCACATGGCGAGGTGCGCACGGCGCGGCTGCTGAGTCAAGGACAATGGCGAGCCCGCGCTGTCTGCCAGCGTCACGCTGCACGTGCTGCTGGTGGATGGCTTCTCGCAGCCCTACCTGCCGCTGCCGGAAGTGGCGGCCGACCAGGCGCAGGCCGACCCGCTGACCGTGTACCTGGTCATCGCGTTGGCGTCGGTGTCGTCGCTGTTCCTGTTCTCGGTGCTGGCGTTCATCGCGGTGCGGCTGTGCAGGCGGAGCAGGGCCGCCTGGGTGGGTGGCTGTTCGGTGCCTGAGGGCCACCTTCCGGGCCACCTGGTGGACGTCAGCGGTACTGGGACCCTGTCCCAGAGCTACCAGTATGAGGTGTGTCTGATGGGAGGTACTGGGACAGATGAGTTTAAATTTCTGAAGCCAATTATTCCCAATCTTCCAATCCATGACACTGGTAGGAATGTAGAGGAAAATGAGAACTTTAGGAATAGCTTTGGATTCAACATCCAATAAAATTTTTATTTTAAACATTTAATCTTTCATTATTCTTGGTAAACTGGTAATACTTTGCCAATTTATAGTGGATTTCAGTTGTACAGTAGTTGCATGTATTATTCCTGAAGCTCTTGCATTTTGCTTTACAAATTTTTATTAGTTTGTATGTTTTCTCTTTGTTTGTTTGGGTTTTTTTTCATTTATTTTGTCAAAAATGGCATATTGGGCTGGCCAGGTCGCTTAGTTGGTTATAAAGTCATCCTGATACATCAAGGTTGCGAGTTCAATTCCTTTTTAGGACTCACACAAGTATCAACCAATGAATACATAAATAAGTGGAACAACAAATCGACGTTTCTCTCTCAAATCAATTTTAAAAGTTGAAAAATGGCATGTTAAAGAAGTTATTGCTCATTTTTTGTGGTAATAGATTGTTATGCAAAACAATGTTGTTGATTATTTGGAGTTGCAATCTAATGTGTTAAGAGCGAATGCCACAATATATTTAATTTACTTCTAGACATTTCGTTAAAGCGTAGCTAAAGCAAAAATTTTAAATGCTGCTGAATCTGGGTGAAAAGAAATTGGATTTTATCATATTATTCTCCTTGAAAACTTTTCATCATAAACATTAAAAATGCTAACTTACTGTATTCAGTACTAGAGTACCTTTTTTGTTAGTTTATAGTAAAGTGTTTTTTTCAGATTTTACTTTTTGACAAAATAAAAGTGACCACATTGGAAATTATTGATTTCTTAAGTAACTTTTCTTTATTGTTGTTGATGCTGATGCTGTTTTGGGAGAAGAGTCTTACAATGTTCTGATACTTTATATCCCTGTTTTGTTTTCTGTAAATATACCCTGTTTGCTAGTTTAAATTTGTATTATTTTATATTGTTTATTACTTAACTAGAATGTTGTCTATGGTATTATCTTGAGTAAACAATCCTCCAGCAGAAAAGTACAGGTGAAAAAATTTCTTAAGAAATTGAAATGAAAATTCACACTGTTAATGAAATAAAGGAGGAAGACTTTGGATGTATAGTACAGTGCCATATACCCATATAATACATAATACCATATTTGTAGAAAATACAAATATATAAATAAACATAATTGAAAGAGAGAAGAAGAAACAGATGTAAGAAAGGAGACATGTGTTTATATGTAGGAGGATTAGGGTGCAGTGAGAAGTGAGAACTATAGCAATGTCCATGATAGAAATTGTCTCTTCTAAGAGATTGTTTAAATTGATTGCAGCATTATGAAGTTGATTTGGTATTGATCAGTTGCTAAAAATAGATATTATTTCTCTATGCTCTTGAGAAGATCAATCCCCTGAACCCCATGAAACCTAAGAATTTATTTGTAATTTTGAGACATACCAAGTGATACTTTTTTTTAAAATATATTATGGTATAGATTATGTAGACCAACACTTCCACTGAAAATAATGACCTAAAAAGGCACATATATTGTCCGGTCACAGTTACTATTTAAAAGTAACCTGAAGAGATAAATGAGCCCCATATCCACTTTTTCCCTGGGAACACTTGGAATCCTGGGAAATGTGAGCCTCTATTTTGATGGTTTATATAATAAGGGAGAAGCATGACAAATAAGAAATGTATAGAAGATCCTCACATTAATAAATATGAATCCCTAAGAACCACATCTTAACCAGTAGGTGGGTGATCCTTTGTGTGGAATATCAGCTTTGAACTTGAATTTTGATTTAAGGTGACAGATCCTAATAGAACCAAATGCAGACCTTCTATGAAGAAGGCTTATTCATTCTAAGCCTACAACTATTATATAAATAATTTTAGTTAACTTTAACACAAAAATAACTGCATACACAAAGAAACATGACACTATGAGTGAGAGCCAGCAGGACGGAAAAAAGAACACAGAAATAAATTTGCAAACACTTCAAATATCTTCATTATCGGACACAGTCCATAATATGCTAATCACTCTAATTGAAGTAAAGTTATACTTAAAGATGTATAGAAAATAAATTTGAAAGGTTAAAAGACAACAGAATAGAACTGAAAAATATGATAATCAAAATTTGAAACTGAATAAAAGTTTTAATAGAAAATGAGATATATCCAAATAAAGAATTCATGAAGTGAAAGAAGTCAGAATATAATTTATCCAGCATGCAGCTCAGAGAGTTAATAAGATGAAAAATACAAAGAAGATGGTTAGAAACAGGATAGAATAAAAAGGTTTAACATATATTTAACCAGAATTACAGAAGGATCAATTATTTGAAAAAATAATTGCTGGGAATTTCCAGAATTGATGAAAACACCAATGCAGTTTCAAGAGATCCAAATAAACCTAACAGGATAAATAAAAGATATTCATACCGTGCTTGCTTCGGCAGCACATATACTAAAATTGGAACGATACAGAGAAGATTAGCATAGCCCCTGCACAAGGATGACACGCAAATTCGTGAAGTGTTCCATATTTTAAAAAAATATATTTATACCTAGAAACATCATTGTGAAATTTCAGAAAGCCCAAAACAAAGAAATCTTTTTTTAAAAGTAACCCCCCCCAAAAAAGTAAAAACCATGGGGAAAAGACATTTAATCTTTAAACACAAGACTATTAGAGTGACAGCTATGTTCCATGTTGACAATTTCTCAACAGTAGCAATGGAAACTAAAAGAAAATAAGATATCTTCAATGTGCTGAAAGAGCCCAGCTGGTGTGGCTCAGTAGTTGAGTGTTGACCCATGAACCAAGAGGTCCCCCATTGATTACTGGTCACAGGCCCCAGATGCAGGTTTGATCCCCAGTAGGGGGTGTGCAGGAGGCAGCCTATAGATGTCTTTCTCTCATCAATGTTTCTACCTATCCCTCTTCCTTCCTCTCTCTCTAAAATCAATAAATACATATACAAATGTGTTGAAATAAATTAGCAAACTTTCCTACCTAAATAGTTTTTGCACATAAGAGTCATCAAATGAGAGCCCTGGCCGGTTTTGGCTCAGTGGTTTGATTCTTAGTCAAGGGCACAGTCAGGATGCCAAGTGTCTCTCTCGCATGGATATTTTTCCTTTCTCTCTCCCCTCCCTCCTACTGTCTCTATAAATAAATGGAAAAATATCCTCTAGTGAGGATTAACAACAACAAAAAAGAATCATCAAATGAGAGAATCAAACCAATTGGATATCAGTTTGGTTTTTAAATGAATCAAGATCATAAGAGAGAATTGCTGTAAAGACATTTTACTCTCAAATATACAACTTCTTATAGTTTTCCTCTGTTCATGCCATACCACAATTCTGAATTAAGGAGTTTCTAGCCTTCTTCATCTTTAGTAACATCCACTTCTAGTCTAGTCGAGTCACCTATGAGTATGGCCACTTCCTGGAGATGGTAGTCTCAAAGAACTGAAATCACATAGTCAAACATACTTCTCTTAACCTACAACTTATATTCTTTCTTGAAGGGCTCCAATCACCATTTATACCAATAAATTCTAAATTTGTCTCTGCAGCCCAAACCTCTTTTCTCACTTGCATTTATATAATGGAAGCTCATTTACATAAATATTTAAATGGATGCTCTATGGATATCTCAAACTCAACATGTTTTAAGTTAAAATTTTCCCTTCCTAAAAAAGAAACATCTTCTCCAGCTCTATACCCATTTTCTCATCTCCCCTTCTTGTATTTACTTTATCAGTTAATAGTGCTATCATTTACTCAGTTCCCTAAGCCTCAGTTCCTTCTTATTCGAGTGCCTCTATATCTAATCTATCACCACATCCAATAGATTTTATCTTGATTATTTTAATTACTGCATTTCTAGTTGAGGCCAATCTCATCTCTTACATGTATTATTGCAACAACTTCTAATCAGTCTCCTGCCTCTAGTCTTACTCCTTTCTAATTTATTCTTAACTCCGAAATAGGATGATCTTTTGAAAAGTAAAAATATGGCCATGTCATTTTTCTATTTAACACCTTTCATAATCTTGCATTTCCACTGATGTAGAGTTTGAATGGCATGACACAAAATATTTGCTTATCTTTTCAGTCTCAACTCTCACAGTTTCTTTCCTTTTGCTGTATTGCTCAACCATATTGATCCTACTTCAGTTCTTCCAAAACAAGTCTTTCATTTTGGATATCATGTTTTTCATTTTCCTGGAAATTTCACCCCACACTGAATTTTGGTTTGGATTCCTCATACTCATCTTTTATGTATCAATTTAGAATATCCTTTTTACAGAAAAGTTTTTTCTGTACTTCCAAATTCTGGTTAGATAACCCTCACCTTTGCTCTTATAGTTGCATATACTTTTGCTATCATGCCATTCACTATGCTCTATTTTTAATGTGTGATCACTTCTCTGCCTCCACATTTCAGGACAGAAACTATGTCTGTCTGTTTACTACTCTAGTCCTAACATTTATCACCAGGCCTAGCACAAAATATATGCTCAATAAATATTTGCTGAACAAATTGTTGAATGGATGCTTTTGGAAGACCTGGATCTGCAACATGAAACTCAGTTCCACAACTAAATTGGGGTCTAATTTGTTCAACTTTTTTTAATGTTCAGAAACTAGACATATTTTATTCATTACTGTTGACTATTTGTTTACTTTTTACTGCTGCCAGATAAGTTTCCTATAGAGGATCCCTAAATAAATGGTACCATTTACCAAATCTGAAATGTCAGCCTCCCCAAAACAACTATTTGCATATACCAGGTTCAGTTTCCAGTGAACCCTATTCTTATTGTCTTAGAATATTTGTTGACAACTAAGACCTCTAGTTTTCCTGGAAACTTCTTGCCCACTAAATCTATTACATAGAAGAGTCGTCCTAACTATTTTTAGTTGTTTTATATATTGTCTTCATAACTTATTTGAAGATGAGAGAGCATAACTTATTTGAAATTGGGGCTGTATCTTCAATATATGCTTTTTATAGCCATGACAGTTCTAGCCAATTGTGGTTTGCTGTGTTAAGGAATGAACAGCAACAGCATCACATATCACAAAGAATGTAACTTAGAAAAGAAAATAGGAATTTAGGAGAGAATATAATTTAAATCCATCAATAAACACACAAGGTAGAGCAATCTTCTGTCTCAACTTACTTGATTTTGTTTAAAACCTGAGAATCTGTAGAGTCACTTGGTGGCGCTGCAGGATAAGATAGGGTAATTTTTGTTACATCAGAAGCCACTGGCTTCCATTAACCAGTGGAGCTGAGAGCGCTAAAGAAGCAGGGAGGGGAAAAGAGGCTTTCAAAAGAAAGCTAGGCAGCCAACAAAAGCCTCACAACAGGATTATAAATCTATAGATTACTAAAGGTCCAGGCTGATTGAAAGGAGCAACTCCTGGAGCTGTTTGAGATTGAGCTGAAACATTTCCAAAGAAAGGCGTTTGGCTAAGGAGCCATGGAGCTGGGAGAGGAGAGCCCTCAGCATGTAAGGCAAGTGCTGCTTTTCTTTGTTTTCCTGGGAGGGTCTTTGGTGTGTTCAGAGACCAGGCGCTATTCTGTGGCAGAGGAAACGGAGACCGGATCCTTTATAGCCAACGTGGTGAAAGACATAGGTTCAGGTGTGGAAGACCTGGCTGCGCGGGGGGCTAGGGTCATCTTTGACGATTATAAATCATACTTGTGGTTGGATCCGCAGACTGGCAACTTGCTTTTAAATGAGGAATTGGACCGGGAGGCACTTTGCGATCTCACGGAGCCATGTATGTTGCATTTCCAGGTGTTACTGGAAAATCCTTTGCAATTTTTTCAGGCTGAGCTTTGGGTTAAAGACATAAATGATCACACTCCCACATTCCTAGATAAAGACATACTTCTGAAAATCTCAGAAGTTACTGCTCCAGGAACCGCATTCCAAATGGAGAGTGCTCAGGATTTGGATGTAGGAAAGAATGGCGTCCAAAACTACACATTAAGTCCCAATCCTCATTTCCACCTCAAAGTACAAGACAGTGATGAGGGCAGAAAATACCCGGAGCTGGTACTGGACCAATCTCTGGATCGAGAAAAGGAGCCTGAGATTAGATTAACTCTAACAGCCTTGGATGGTGGGTCTCCGCCCAGGTCTGGAACTGCAGTGGTTCGTGTTTTGGTTTTAGATATCAATGACAATGCACCGGAGTTTGAGAGGCCTGTCTATGAGGTTCAGGTACCAGAAAACAGCCCTCTGGACTCCTTAATCATCAAGGTGTCTGCTACAGATTTAGACGCAGGAATAAATGGAGAACTAACTTACTCATTTTCCCACGTCTCCAAAGACACACGGAAAACATTTGAAATCCATCCAATTTCTGGCGAAGTCCACTTAAAAGCGCTTCTGGATTTTGAGTTAGTTCAGTCTTACACAATAAATATTCAGGCCACTGACGGTGGGAGTCTCTCAGGAAAATCAGCAATTTTGGTTCGGGTTGTAGATGTGAATGACAACCCTCCGGAAATAGTCATGACATCTCTTACCAGCCCCATACCAGAAAATGCCTCGCCTGAAATGGTGGTCGCTGTTTTCAGCTTACGGGACCAAGACTCTGGAGATAACGGGAAGATGGTTTGCTCAATTCAGGACAATCTCCCCTTTCTCTTGAAGCCTACATTTAAGAACTTCTACACGCTGGTAACAGAACGGCCATTGGACCGAGAGACCAGTACCGAGTACAACATCACCATCACGGTCACCGACTTGGGGACCCCCAGGCTGAAAACCCAGCACAACATCACCCTGCTGGTCTCCGACGTCAACGACAACGCCCCCGCCTTCACCCAAACCTCCTACACCCTGTTCCTCCGCGAGAACAACAGCCCCGCCCTGCACATCGGCAGCGTCAGCGCCACAGACAGAGACGCGGGCGCCAACGCCCAGCTCACCTACTCGCTGCTGCCGCCCCACGACCCGCAGCTGCCCCTGGCCTCGCTGGTGTCCATCAACGCGGACAACGGCCACCTGTTCGCCCTGAGGGCGCTGGACTTCGAGGCGCTGCGGGCGTTCGAGTTCCGCGTGGGCGCCACGGACCGCGGGTCCCCCGCGCTGAGCAGCCAGGCGCTGGTGCGCGTGCAGGTGCTGGACGCCAACGACAACGCGCCCTTCGTGCTGTACCCGCTGCAGAACGGCTCCGCGCCCTGCACCGAGCTGGTGCCCAGGGCGGCCGAGCCGGGCTACCTGGTGAGCAAGGTGGTGGCGGTGGACGCAGACTCGGGCCAGAACGCCTGGCTGTCGTTCCAGCTGCTCAAGGCCACGGAGCCCGGGCTGTTCGGCGTGTGGGCGCACAATGGCGAGGTGCGCACGGCGCGGCTGCTGAGCGAGCGCGACGCGGCCAAGCACAGGTTGGTGGTGCTGGTCAAGGACAATGGCGAGCCCGCGCAGTCTGCCAGCGTCACGCTGCACGTGCTGCTGGTGGATGGCTTCTCGCAGCCCTACCTGCCGCTGCCGGAAGCGGCGGCCGACCAGGCGCAGGCCGACCCGCTGACCGTGTACCTGGTCATCGCGTTGGCGTCGGTGTCGTCGCTGTTCCTGTTCTCGGTGCTGGCGTTCATCGCGGTGCGGCTGTGCAGGCGGAGCAGGGCGGCCTGGGTGGGTGGCTGTTCGGTGCCTGAGGGCCACCTTCCGGGCCACCTGGTGGACGTCAGCGGCACCGGGACCCTGTCCCAGAGCTACCAGTATGAGGTGTGTCTCACGGGAGGCTCTGGGACCAGTGAATTCAAGTTCCTTAAACCAGTTATCCCCAGCCTCCCGCCCCAAAATCCTGAAAAGGAGGAAAGCCACACCTTTCTCAATGGCTTTGGGTTCAATTAGGAATTCCATTATTATGCAAAACTTGTAGAAAGAGTGCTATTTCTTTGTAAAATTTATTCATTGTAATGTAAAATTATTTCTTTTGAGTAACCTCAGTAAGAGCTCAGAAATTTCAATGTCTACTTTCTGCTCTTCTTTATATTAACTGGAAAAAAACTGAGGGAGCTAGAATTTGTTTAGTCTTTCTTCCAAAATGCAACCTCAAATAATTTATTTACACGATGGAGCAAAAGTAGGTTTACAGTTATTCATATGGAAAATAATACAAGAACAAACTGTGGCCCTAACCAGTTTGGCTCAGTGGATAGAGCGTCGGCCTGCGGACTCAGGGGTCCCAGGTTCGATTCTGGTCAAGGGCATGTACCTTGGTTGCTGGCACATACCCAGTGGGGAGTGTGCAGGAGGCAGCTGATCAATGTTTCTCTCTCATTGATGTTTCTAACTCTCTTTCCCTCTCCCTAATTCTCTGTAAAAAATCAATCAATAAAAAATATATAAAACCTCTTGACTTAAAAAAAAAACAACAAACTGTGTTTCACGTGTTAACAATTGTGAACCTACCTTTGCCCACCCTGTATACAGCATTTTCCCTTCTAGGTTAATTGCACACTCAGCTCAGTCATAGTCTCTGGATGTTCTGGGTTCTAAATGCTTTCACCAAACCAGTTTTTATGTTTGATAGTATTATTATAGACGAAATGCATGCTATGAATCAAAACATAATTGCTTTGTCATCTGCTTAGGTTGATTTTTAATGTTACCTTTTAAAGGTATTTTAAAGTATAATCAATTTTTCTATTCTCTTCTGCCAAATATTTCAGATAATTTTTTTCTCCATTTAGGTATGTTTCTGTGTAAATATTTTGTGAATTGTTTATATTGCTGATAGGTGGTGTATTAAAATAAATTCTAATCTTGTTCAGATTAAGGCAGATATTTAGCCATATCATTTATGGATTATATGGGTTGATTCATGTCTGAGAGCTCCCCAGTATGATCCAAGAGAGATAAACACTATTTAGATGTTTGTTCCATTTTCTTTACTTTTCCTGACTATTTTGATTGGTTCAGCAACAGGCTCCTGATTAAAGCAGAAATAGTCATATTCTCCAAGCCCTTAAATTGGCAATTAAGATGCAGGTCACCTATTTTTTCTTGATTGCTTGTAACTAGGAAATAAATGTTAAACATAGGCTGAGGTAGCCATGTTTAGCCCTGTTTGGGCTTGCAACATAGAATCACAGGTAAAGAGCAAGAAAAGAGGGGAGGAAGGAAGGGAAGGAAAGAGTAAAGGTGAGAATGAATAAGGAAGTGGAGGAAACAGAAACCTAAGAAACAGTAGAGACTAAGACAGCTATGCACTTGGTTCTAGACCTATCAGTTTCTCATTCCAGTGTCTCCAAGTTCCCAAAGTCTTGTTGTCTTTGAGTCCTACAATAAGACTCCAGTTTCCTAAGAATAAAACTTTTTTATTTAACACATGGGGGGATTACTGGAAACCAAAAGAGACAAGAAAGATACGTGCAGTTTTGAGTACTCAATTAGCCTATGTAACAGCAAACCTAGGTCCTTTGTTGCATGCTTCTAATATTAACTTAGCCAATGAATGGAATAACAACTGTACAAGCTTTGAGATAATTAATCTATACTAGAGAATTTTGTTATAAACCTTAATTTTATAAATAATTGGCAAAGTCTTTCAACAGAAGAAATGCTACAAAGGGTTTTATGGAATGTTTTTCTAACAAGTTTCCCTCCATTATTGTATGTGCCCCAGGACTAGTTTTTAAAAGTAACACTTAGATTGTTATTGTTTGAGTGTCTATACCTTTTCTCAGGATCATCAGACATGTGAACATAATTATTTTATCATTTAATGTAAAATCTTCAGAGTCTACAAATAATGTAGTTTCTAGATTATATGGGTTGATTCATGATTTTAAGAATAATACAGTATTTGATGGACACATACTCTATTATTAAAAAGGCTCATAAAAGTTTAAGTTTCCTGCCAAGTCTACAAGCTTAAATTTTTCTCCTTAGAAGAGAAAAATAAGGAGAATTTTTTTCTGAGAGATGACAGATGGGAATGAAAAACTAATTTTGATGCTTTTGCTCACTGACTTAGATACCAGCTTCTACTGGTTAATTTTTTTAATGCATGAATATTAAGGGCACATTTTCTTGCCTATTTAATTTCATAGTAGAGAGGTTGGATCCATGACCAAGATCTCTGAGGAAAATTCTTAGATATAACTGTAACCAGCATGTTCTCATATTTTGAAGGTTGATTTAATTAAATTTGTTTCACTACTAGAAGAAAACATTCTAAAATAGAATGATTTGTACCTCTATAGAATTGAACCAATATTCAACACAATGTTTACATGAGGCCCAAGCTGTTTTCTCAGTTATCCAGGTGACTGGAGTGCCAGACTATGTTATACTGTTGGTTATTTAAACAATATTAAAGTATTGTTTAAAATTTGGTGCAACTGGGGAGACTCCAGGTCCCTTACCCCAAGATATTTTTTCCATCCTTAGGAGTAAAAACTTTATTCTAGGGTGTCAGGATCTCCAGCTACCCTCAAGAGCTACGTGAGTTGCTTGCTAAAAGTAAATTGTGTTTCCTACTTGGGAATAAGTTTAAGCTGCTGTTTCAAATAAACCTAACTTATTTTCTTCTGCACTTTAGTTACTACTGTAACTTTAGCTCTTTAGTATATTTGTAATGTTGACTTCCCTACTTTTCAAGATCTCAGTGAATGTTAACTTCAACATGTATATATCTTAGTTTTAGTAACAGATGTAGATGCTTTTTACAAATAGTTTTAGATAATTAATAGTCAATACAACAGTGCTTACAGAGATACTGAGACAATATCTGTAGACAATATTTATAAATAAGTTATCCACAATCCCTTAAGCTATTTATTTAGTTTGCATAATAAACCAGTTCTAGCTGGTCTGTCACTTAAGTTTATACTCTTGAAGTATGTAAATGAATCTCTTCATCTACCTTGTTGGCAGTGTGTTAAGAGTTTGACTTCTTTAGGAATAGACTGATAACTACCCATCTTTTTCTACTCAATTATCCCAGAATACAGATAGTATAGTAGACTTTATATTGTAAGCTTCAGAACAACAAAGAAGGTATGTGTATTCCCACCACTTAGTATACTGCCTGACATATAATATGAAATCAATAAGGTTTGATGAATAAACAAATAAATACAGTTAGCTTTGTTCTTGCATCTTTTCCCAAAGTGGCTGGCACCATTTCCACATTCACAATCTCACAGGAAAATAGAAGTTACAATTTTATTTATAAACCACCCGATATATAATCCGTGGTGGTGGTTGTGTATGTGTGTGTGCATAGATCAAGTAGAAAGCTTTTTGTAGCTTTTCCAGCAAACTAGGTTTAAGTGCAACACATGGTGGCGCTGTAAGCTAAGGCTTCGAAAAAACAGACCTGAGGAGGGGAGGGTTCCGGTTCTGGTGGTCATTACACAGATCTAAGGAAGAGAGGAGGATCCTTAACGGAATTACCCTGCGGCAAGGATTGATTCCCGGGGCAGACTTCCTGCAGACCCAACAGGCAGCCGGCCCCAAAGACTTCTGGCGCTGAAAAAATGGAGGCTGAAGAGGAGCGCTTTCCTACACTAAGGCAAGTCCTGCTTCTCTTTGTTTTTCTGGCTCAGACTAGCGCAGAGCAGAAAGGTTATAGCGTCGCAGAAGAAACCGAGGGTGGTTCTTTTGTGGCCAATCTAGCAAAGGACATAGGGCTGGAGGTAAGGGAGCTGTCTGGGCGGAGGGCTCGTGTCATTTTTAACAACAACAGAGAACATTTTCAGCTGAACCTTCAGACTGGAGATTTACAAGTACATGAGAAACTGGATCGGGAAGAGCTGTGTGGTCCCACTGAGCCTTGTGTGCTGCAATTCCAGGTGTTACTGGAAGAGCCTTTGGAAGTCTATAGGTTTAAGCTTTTGGTCCGTGACATAAATGACAATTCACCTGTGTTCCCGAAAGCAGAAATGATTTTGAAAATCATGGAAAGTACTCTTCCAGGGACTGTGTTTCCCCTGAAAAATGCACAAGACTTGGATGTGGGCATCAATAATGTTCAAAACTATACCATCCACCCCAACTCCCACTTCCACGTTCTTACCAGAAATGGCAGTGAGGGCAGAAAGTACCCAGTGCTGGTTCTGGACAAAGCTCTAGATCGCGAGGAGCAGCCGGAGCTGAGGTTAACGCTCACGGCAGTAGATGGCGGAGCTCCTCCCAAATCTGGCACCGCCCTGGTCCTCATTGAGGTGTTGGATATCAATGACAACGCCCCAGAGTTTGTGCAGCCGCTCTATAGAGTGCAGATCCTGGAGAACAGTCCTCTGGGCTCCCTTGTTGTCACTGTTTCCGCGAGGGATTTAGACACGGGAATAAACGGGGAAGTGTCCTACTCATTCTTTTATGGCGATGAAGAGATTACTAGGACATTTGCACTTAATGAACGCACAGGTGAAATTACAATCATTAGGAAACTAGATTTTGAAAAAACTGTTTCATATGAGGTGGATATTAAGGCGTCTGATGGGGCAGGTCTTTCTGGAAAATGCACTGTCATAATACAGGTGGTGGATATAAACGACAACACCCCAGAACTGAAGGTGGTTTCACTTACAAGCTCCATTCCAGAAAATTCCCCGGAAATGACCATAGCTCTTTTCAGTGTTCAAGACCCAGACTCTGGGGAGAATGGAAGGATGGTGTGTTCCATCCAGGAAGATCTCCCTTTCACGCTGAAACATTCCGTTGAGAATTTCTACAAGCTGGTAACAGAAGGACCTCTAGACAGAGAGAACAAGGCCGAGTACAACATCACCATCACCGTCACGGACATGGGGACCCCCAGGCTGAAAACCCAGCACAACATCACCCTGCTGGTCTCCGACGTCAACGACAACGCCCCCGCCTTCACCCAAACCTCCTACACCCTGTTCCTCCGCGAGAACAACAGCCCCGCCCTGCACATCGGCAGCGTCAGCGCCACAGACAGAGACGCGGGCGCCAACGCCCAGCTCACCTACTCGCTGCTGCCGCCCCGCGACCCGCAGCTGCCCCTGGCCTCGCTCGTGTCCATCAACGCGGACAACGGCCACCTGTTCGCCCTGAGGGCGCTGGACTTCGAGGCGCTGCAGGCGTTCGAGTTCCGCGTGGGCGCCACGGACCGCGGGTCCCCCGCGCTGAGCAGCCAGGCGCTGGTGCGCGTGCAGGTGCTGGACGCCAACGACAACGCGCCCTTCGTGCTGTACCCGCTGCAGAACGGCTCCGCGCCCTGCACCGAGCTGGTGCCCAGGGCGGCCGAGCCGGGCTACCTGGTGAGCAAGGTGGTGGCGGTGGACGCAGACTCGGGCCAGAACGCCTGGCTGTCGTTCCAGCTGCTCAAGGCCACGGAGCCCGGGCTGTTCGGCGTGTGGGCGCACAATGGCGAGGTGCGCACGGCGCGGCTGCTGAGCGAGCGCGACGTGGCCAAGCACAGGCTGGTGGTGCTGGTCAAGGACAATGGCGAGCCCGCGCTGTCTGCCAGCGTCACGCTGCACGTGCTGCTAGTGGATGGCTTCTCGCAGCCCTACCTGCCGCTGCCGGAAGCGGCGGCCGACCAGGCGCAGGCCGACCCGCTGACCGTGTACCTGGTCATCGCGTTGGCGTCGGTGTCGTCGCTGTTCCTGTTCTCGGTGCTGGCGTTCATCGCGGTGCGGCTGTGCAGGCGGAGCAGGGCGGCCTGGGTGGGTGGCTGTTCGGTGCCTGAGGGCCACTTTCCGGGCCACCTGGTGGACGTCAGCGGTACTGGGACCCTGTCCCAGAGCTACCAGTATGAGGTGTGTCTGAATGGAGGCTCAGGAACCACCAGAGAGTTTAAGTTCCTAAAATCTGTTGCCTCCAACCATCCGGGGTCTGTGAATGGTGTGGAGGAAAACTCTAATTTTGTAAATGGTTTTGGATTCAATTAGGAATTTGTTAAATTTTCAGAGCATTCCAGGTGAAGATTAGCTCTTTTAAAATATATTATGTCTCCCTTACCAATTTTAGTACATACAGATTTTCTTTGATTTTATTTCCTAGTTAAGGAGATTAGAAACTTTAAGTATATACTCATGGTCTCTTTCTCTCTCTCTGTGTGTGTGTGTGTTAATTCTCACCCAAGGATTTTTTCCCATTGATTTTTTGTTTTTAGAGAGAGAGAGTGTGTGGAAAGAGGGCGAGAGACAGAGACAGAAACATTGATGTGAAAGAAAAACATTGTTCAGGCAGGGCATGGAATTGAAACCTTTAATTTGCAGGAGGAGGCTCTGTTCACAGAGCCAACCCGTCTATGGCTTGTTTACTCTCTTTTTATCATTTCTATTTGACTAAGACAAAGAACTTGCAAATGTACTTCATACTAAAAAGTATGAATATTTGTTCAATTTATCAACTCTTCATCAACCACAATTGATTTGAAGATAACCCCAGGACCATTTTCTGTTTGAATGTTGTCCAGAAACATTTTAAAAATTTTGATGTTGTGGTTTCTTAGGAGACAGGCATGATACAAATCTAATGAGTTATTAAGATATCTTCAGTTTAATATGTCTACCCATCTAAAATTTTTGAATGGAGAAGTGTCTGCAAAAATTGCATGTTTTTTTTCACAGTAGTATTAAATAGAAAAACAATGATTTCTCCCATACTGGATTTTCACCTCTTTAAATCAACCTTCAGTATATGATATATATGAGTATTATTTTTAAATTAAATTTATTGGGATGACATTGGTTAATAAGATTATATAGGTTTCAAATGTACATTTCTATGATGCATGAGCTGTATATTGCATTGTGTGCCCACCACCCAAAGTCAAATCATTTTCTGTCACCATAGTGAAAGAGTATTAGATTATTTCCAAATATTTAAATAATAGATCCTACCACATCTCTTTCTGGAAACTTCTCTTCAGTAGATGTCTACTGTTGCAGCCATGTTTATTTTAATGACCCCTCTCTTTTTGTGATTTCAGACAGTCAGACAAGACATTGCTTATCCAAGCTATGCCAATCTGATTCTCTCTCTGTTTAAAAAATTGCTTTGGAAACCAGATATAAAATAGTCTCTTTGTTAGGAACTTAATAAGAAAATGATATTATGCTAGCTAAATACATGGAAAGCACAGAAAATCAATCCACTTACAAGAAGGAAGGAGATGCCCAAAGAACAACCTAATTGTATATTTTCCATTTTCTCCCAAGTTTGCTTTCTCCTTTGGGTTTTTGGAAATAAATGGTCTTTTAATAAATTTCTCTCTAATTAAGATAGCTAGGTGTTTTTTTTTCACTTGTCAAAAGCATGTTTACATATTCTTATATGGATTAAAACTTACTATTAATCTGGAACATAAGTTGTGGTTGTCTCCCTGGCTGGGTTGCTCAGTTGGTTAGAGAGTCATCCTGATACACCAAAGTTGTGGGTTCAACCCCCCTCGGGGCACATACAAGAATCAACCAATGAATGCATAAATGAGTGGAACAACAAAATGATGCTTCTCTCTAAAATCAACCAGTGGTAGAGCATGGGCCTTTGAACCAAAGGATATCAGGGTTGGATACCTGGTCAAGGGCAGGTACCTGGGTTGCAGGTGGGAGGCAACCAATCCAGGAGTCTCTTTCACATTGATGTTTCTCTCTCTCTCTTCTCTTCCCCCCTTCCATTATCCTAAAAAAATCAATGGAAAAAATATTCTCAGGTGAGGATTTAAAAACATTGTAATTATATAAATTTAACAATAGTTGAGTCAAAAGATGGTGGAATATTAGTAATTTGTAAGGGACACACGCAAACTTTTGTTAGACTGCATATTTTTGAGAATTGATGGATATTTCCAAATTGTACACTTTATATAGAAATTCTTAGAAAATTCTATATAAGAAATATTTAATAGCATTAGTGTCATAATAGCATTAGTGTGAATTAACACTGACAATGTAAAATATGTTTTAAAGAAATGTATACCCTATTTGTAGAATCATTATAGCCTGGTTGTTTTGTTCTTTCTTTTTTATAATGTATCCTTTTGTTTAGGGTTGAGCAAGGGTATTTTGCTATTTAATGGAAAACATTTTAGATCATTCTGAATTATATTAAATTACTATTCAAAAGAGCATAGCTACTTGGGAGCATGGTTTCTCATATAATGAATTAAGATTACAGCAAAAAAAATATGGGCTTTTGCATTAGGAGGAGAATCCATCTGTCAAAATTTTTACATTGTGATTTCTTCATTGATATATTCAACAAATATTTATTGAGCATCTGCCATGTGCCTGGGACTAGCTGTTGAAGAATATCAAAATAAAAAGTTTTGGAACTCTAGGATGACACAGAAAAGAAATAAGTAAGCATGCTCTATCAGATGGTGATCAATGAAGCATGCTCAGAGCTAAAGAAGTGTTCTCATGTGCATTTTCCTGTAGTTTAAAGGTTAAAATATCATAACTCTGACCTCAAGTATAAAGAATATGTAAACTGCAATGAACTAGTAGCTTTTTTCTGTGATGTGATTAACCAATAAGAACCACAATTATGGCATATAGGCTGTCTAGAATCTGAAAGAAAATCTAGAGGAATTCATTCATTTTTGCTGAGAGAATTTTAAGGAATCATATAGCTTGACTCTTATTTTTACAAGATGACTGATCACTAATAAGTCTTCTTTCACCTCTCAGTTCTCCAGAACATCCCCCAAAAACTACAGGTTCTGGAAGATAAAAACCATGTCTGGGTTGTTTACTAATGTAGCTCAGAACCTAGTATATTATATCAATAATAGATCTTTGAATGAATAAATAATTTTAATTGCATGGTTTTCTGATTACATCATATCCCAAAAAACATTTCCAAAACTCCCAATAGATAACTGGTATTACTAGATAGATAAATGATTGGGATTACTAGATTACTATAGGTACATACAAATAGAGAATGCAATTGTAGCAAATTTTTTCGAAGACAACGCATGGTGGCGCTGCAGGCTAAGGCGAAGAAAAAGAAAAAGAAAAAAAAAGAGCCCAGGAAATTCAACTAATTCAACCTCAGATCGCTAGAGGAGGAGAAAAGCCTGTAACGGAGCTGAGGACCAGAGAGTGTTCAGAGAATGCTACTCAGCAACATTTCCGGACAGACTACCAACTGAGAGATCCATCCTATCGCAGTCCCATTGCTCCCTAAGGTAGAGCTGGGCTCGGTTCCTGGAAAGGTGTTTGTGAAATAAAGATGGAGGTCGGAGAGGAGCGCTTTCCTAAACAAAGGCAAGTCCTGGTTCTCTTTCTTTTGGTGGGAGTGGCTGTGGCAGGATGGGAATCCCGTCGCTATTCCGTGATGGAGGAAACAGAGAGCGGCTCCTTTGTGGCCAACTTGGCCAAGGACCTGGGGCTGGGAGCGGGAGAGCTAGCTGCGCGAGGAGCCCGGGTGGTCACTGAAGATAAGGAACCCCGATTGCAGCTTGATCTGCAGACCGGTGACTTGATATTAAATGAGAAACTGGACCGGGAGGAGATGTGTGGCTCCACTGAGCCATGTGTGATGCATTTCCAAGTGTTACTGAAAAAACCATTGGGAGTATTTCGAGCTGAGCTACTGGTGAGAGACATAAATGATCATTCTCCTGAGTTTTCTGAAAGAGAAATGACGCTGAGAATCCCAGAGACTAGCCCTCCTGGGACCGTGTTTCCTCTGAAAAAAGCCCAGGATTTGGACGTGGGCAACAACAACATCCAAAACTACAGCATCAGTCCCAGCTCCCATTTCCATGTTTCCACCCGCGACCTAGGAGATGGCAGGAAATACCCCGAGCTGGTGCTGGACAAGGAGCTGGATCGTGAGGAGCAGGCCCAGCTCAGATTAACCCTCACAGCCCTGGATGGCGGCTCTCCTCCCCTGTCTGGCACCACCCAGGTGCACATCTTGGTCTTGGATGTCAATGACAATGCCCCTGAGTTTGCACAGAGACTCTACCACGTGCAGGTCCCTGAGAACAGCCCTGTAGGTTCCCTAGTTGTCAAGGTTTCTGCTAGAGATTTAGACACTGGGACAAACGGAGAGATATCATACGCTCTTTCTTATAGTTCTCAGGAGATAAGCAAAACTTTTGAAGTAAACAGCCTTTCAGGAGAAGTTCGGCTAATCAAAAAACTAGATTTTGAGACAATATCCTCATATGAGCTGGATATAGATGCCTCTGATGGCGGGGGACTTTCAGGAAAATGTTCAGTCGCCATTGAGGTGGTGGATGTTAACGACAACTCCCCAGAACTAACTATTTCATCACTTACCAGCCCCATTCCCGAAAATTACCCCGAGACAGAAGTGGCCCTGTTTCAGATTCGAGACCGAGACTCGGGGGACAACGGAAGGATGACTTGCTCCATCCAGGATGATCTCCCCTTCCTCCTGAAACCAACTGAAGAGAATTTCTACACCCTGGTAACGAATGGGGCCCTGGACAGGGAGACCAGAGCCCAGTATAATGTCACTATTACAGTTTCCGACTTGGGGACCCCCAGGCTGAAAACCCAGCACAACATCACCCTGCTGGTCTCCGACGTCAACGACAACGCCCCCGCCTTCACCCAAACCTCCTACACCCTGTTCCTCCGCGAGAACAACAGCCCCGCCCTGCACATCGGCAGCGTCAGCGCCACAGACAGAGACGCGGGCGCCAACGCCCAGCTCACCTACTCGCTGCTGCCGCCCCACGACCCGCAGCTGCCCCTGGCCTCGCTGGTGTCCATCAACGCGGACAACGGCCACCTGTTCGCCCTGAGGGCGCTGGACTTCGAGGCCCTGCAGGCGTTCGAGTTCCGCGTGGGCGCCACGGACCGCGGGTCCCCCGCGCTGAGCAGCCAGGCGCTGGTGCGCGTGCAGGTGCTGGACGCCAACGACAACGCGCCCTTCGTGCTGTACCCGCTGCAGAACGGCTCTGCGCCCTGCACCGAGCTGGTGCCCAGGGCGGCCGAGCCGGGCTACCTGGTGAGCAAGGTGGTGGCGGTGGACGCAGACTCGGGCCAGAACGCCTGGCTGTCATTCCAGCTGCTCAAGGCCACGGAGCCCGGGCTGTTCGGCGTGTGGGCGCACAATGGCGAGGTGCGCACGGCGCGGCTGCTGAGCGAGCGCGACGCGGCCAAGCACAGGCTGGTGGTGCTGGTCAAGGACAATGGCGAGCCCGCGCTGTCTGCCAGCGTCACGCTGCACGTGCTGCTGGTGGATGGCTTCTCGCAGCCCTACCTGCCGCTGCCCGAAGCGGCGGCCGACCAGGCGCAGGCCGACCCGCTGACCGTGTACCTGGTCATCGCGTTGGCGTCGGTGTCGTCGCTGTTCCTGTTCTCGGTGCTGGCGTTCATCGCGGTGCGGCTGTGCAGGCGGAGCAGGGCCGCCTGGGTGGGTGGCTGTTCGGTGCCTGAGGGCCACTTTCCGGGCCACCTGGTGGACGTCAGCGGCACAGGAACCCTGTCCCAGAGCTACCAGTATGAGGTGTGTCTGACGGGAGACTCTGGGAGTAATGAGTTCAAATTCTTGAAGCCTGTCTTCCCCAATATTCTAGGCCAGGACATTGGGAGGAAGGCAGAGGGAAATCCAACATTCCATGATAGTTTAGGTATCTGAAACTTTCCACTTGCACCATTAGTTGTTGTCTCCTTTATCTTTCCTTCATTTTTTTAATGCAGTAATAGCCTGTAGTTCTACTTGTTTTTCTTTTTCTGTACTATCTTCCTTAGCAGTTATTCTTTGTTTTGTTGTCCTGTAATTATTTTTTCAATTACTATATTATTAGTTAAAAAATACCAGGAAATTTCGTATTTCTGACTAAAAATTTTAGTACTGATTTCTTAAGGTTAATATGAAAGTTAACCTCTTAAAATAAATGTAATTTTAAATTTAAAAGTATTCATGACACTACATAAGGATTTGATTCCTTTCTACCTACTTCATTTTTAAATTGTCAGAGGTTTTATTTAGTTTTTATTATTTACACAGCTATGAGTTTTTTATAACCCATTTTGGGTAGAATCAATTTGTGTTCACCTATATCCAGTTTCTTTCAAACTCTGTATTTTTTGTTTTTATTAATAGGCAACATGTATAATTTCATGCTGTTTATATCAAAATCACAATTGTAATTATTAGACTTTCTAAAATACATGTTACCGCATGAAAATATATCTTTCTCATCTAATGTTGAGAAAAATCATGGGTTTTTTTTTCTTATATTTAACTGAAGTTATGATCCTGATAAGAGTCCTGCACAGTTTTACTGGA